TTGTTGTTTGCATGATACACTTTTCACAAATTAATGCTACTTGGCGTTTTGCCAATTTATTTACTGCAATAAAAATTTAAAATGCTTTTGAACTTTTTATTATCAACATATCCAAAACCAATGGCTGTCGAAGTACTTTAATTGAGATTAGGAGTATGTTTATGTTCAATTTGATATATTTGTTACAGGTCTTCCCACTGTTCAAATATATTAAACTGACTATTAAACATCTCTTAATCTCAATTAAAGTAATCGGTCACCAATAATAGTAAGGACACAAACCTTCACAACAAGTAGCAGGGACGCATACTCGCAAGCAGATTTAAAACGCAGCTGTGCATTTGCGTTAATAGATGACAGCAGGTTAGCGCGGGTCCAACAAAGTGCGAGAGAGTGGGCTATCTATACTTGTCTTTATCTATGGTATAGATAGCCCACTCCCTTGCACAAAATTGCTCCCATTGAGTTGTCATGGGGGTGGTACACACTAAGCGGGTAATTTGAATTTGTAATATGCATTTTAATATTTTGGATTTTATAGGGTGGGAACTGTTATCTCCGGATAGATGTATTTGAGTAATATAGAAATTTTATAAATATTCACTCATAAAATTGTAACGTTGACGCATTTAAAAAGAAAAGTTCATATGAACAATGTCCGAAACAGGTTACGCCATGTTCTGCCACAGAGTGCATTACAACTTTTTCCACGTTTCCACGTGCTCTCAAATACCAGTTTTATGCAGACTGCCCTTGGCCATCCAATCCACAATTTCAGTGGTAAGACTCTCCACTCTGGAACCTGAACGCAGCTGAAGATATTTCTGGAAAAATTCAATCGAGTGGAAAAATCTAAGATAGCAGACAAAATTGTCTCTTGTCAATGGTTGTAATCACAAAACACCATATTTTCAGTATTTCATAAGGGTCTCAGGTTTTAGTAGTAAGAAAATTTACTTTTACATGCCCTTACTTTTCTGCTGCGGGCATTTTGGCGGCAATTTGGAATATACCGTAGATATACATTCATGTTCATGTCAGATATTCATTCATATTTGACCGGAATATTTGTTTTGAACATACTAGGTATATTCACCTGCGCATATACACAATATATATTGCGATATACCTGGCATGTTCATCTGCACATATACCCAATATGTACATGTATGTACATACCTAGGATATACCTTTTATGAATATACATGCATGTATATTCCACGAACATTCATGTTAGGAATGTTCACCCATGTATATTCCCAGGATATTCCCGCAATGTTCTGTATATTTTTTGAACATTCTGGGATATTCATATATCTAGCTATCTGGGTCCATTATTTCCGTTGCTGTTGAACTTTCGAAAAGCAGTTTCATATAAAAGTTGTTGACACCGTGGACAAAGTGCGCATATTTAAAAAATATCTTTTATGATACAGTGTCTCAGAAAAGCGAGGCAAGATCAAAGTGTATTTTTTTAAATAGAACCACCCATTTTTTTAGTAGCTCATGAAATGTAGCTTGAAACGCTGCATGTACACCGTAAATTGTTTTTTTTCTTGCTTGCGACGTTGGCAGATTATCGCAAGTACCTGTATATTAATACGTCATTAGATAGACAATTAACAAAGTTACAAATTTGCATTTACACTTTAAGCTGTGAAATCAACCGTTTTCAAATTATAAATTATTTTATTTAAAAATTTTAAAAAGTTGTTACATTTTGTAAGGTGTTCACTTTTATTGTCATTATTTCTATTGCACTTATTAGGCATATTTTCATAACTATTAAAAAAATTTAAACATATTAAGTTAATTTGGCTACCAATAATATGTGTTATATTATAATAAATGCAAGTACATTCAAAAGTATGGATGCAAATGTTACAATATAATTATTGCTCAACTGAAATGACAACATGGATGGACTCGATATTTCTCGTTTTTTATATAGAAAATAAATGGAAGCAGAATTACTCAATACAAATTCATTATCATTGTTCTGTTTCACGTCATTTGAATTTAATGTTAAGCCAGCCGATGTTGATTAATAATTTTCTATTTATGTTTAGGGCATTTTCCTTTCGTTAGCTTTATTACTCAATCAATTATTTTGTCCCCAATAAATTTTTAAGGCAATGCAATGATGTATCTAATATTTTAATCTTTTTTTCCTCTAGATAACTATACTTTATATTTTTGTGCATGTTTTCGAGATGCCCATAGCACCATACTCATATTCAATTACAGCACTCTCAGTTTTTTCATGGACCTCTCATTGGTGGCGATTATAATTCGTTTGAGTGGAAAAAACCATTTTAGAGAAATCTAACATAGAAACCTAACAGAATCATAGAAACCTCACATTTTCTGCAAGGGCTCAGTTTAAAGAGCTAACACTATACTTTATTGCACATCTGAGAACTATGCTTCGTTAATAGTCATTTTAGTTTTCAAGCTTAAAACCCGTTGCAAAGCACTTGTTAATTAAAACTAAGATTTATGAAAAATTAATGGAATGTGACCCAAGGGCGGATCCAGGGGGGCATGACTCCCCTCTTTGAGCTGGGTTTATAACGACTAACGATAGTTTTTCTAATTTCATAGACAACAAAAGACTGAATTTCTACTACTTGACCCCCCCTGAATTTAAAGGTGGATCCGCCCCTGATGTGACCAAAACTAAATAAGCTATATTTAATCGCATTAATCAGACAGGAAAATAGCACGACACGCCCAACATTGCAATGAGTACCACATGACCTCACTTAAATCGACGGAATATCCTACTTTGTATTCATTGTATCATGGACGTCACTACTACGCTTTCGGTTCTATAGCCGCATATTCTGTGATTGGTTAGCTTGTCAGTGCGCATTACATGCCACTCTGACGTTTTGGTGCCCTACGCGTACGCGCATTCATAGATAAAGACAAGCGCGCATTGTTCTGTAACACCGTATTCTGTGCTGTGCTCTCAGCTGTGGACTTTAGAAAGTGTTTTGTGCTATTCTCACAATAAGTTTTACGGACAGACTCGTTTTCAAGTGAACCTTTGTTGTACCCATCATTCTACGTAGCTGTAAGTACCTATATGAAAAGCGTATTTTCATATGCTCAATGTTATGTATTTGTTATAAAGAAGTTACAGTTGGATTGGCCAAATCATGCAAAATGGCCGATATTGATTTTTATCACAAAACTGGCTAAAACCGAGATGCGAAATATACTAGTCACTTCGTATGTCAGGCCATTCATTTTGAAAATCTTATTAAAATACGGTTATATGTGGTAGTACATAGAAATATTTTATTCATTCGGTTGTCATTGCTTATTAACATTAAATTCGCAGATATTCCAAAATTAAAGAGCCTTCAATGTTTACAAACCTGTGTGATGCCACATATATAAATACCTATAGCTATATAATTTGTTTGAATCGTCCGGCTAGCTGAACATTGACTGTCGAACCACCAATATTATGTTACATTTTCAAGTACACGCTGGCCTGTCCAACTATGTTATTGATTTACTGATAGGACTGAAATTGCACACAAAAATCGACTAGTAATTTGTAACATACATGTATGTATATTGGTTGAACCCAAAATATTTTAAATCTTCACATCTCACATATCTCGCATAATATATACGATTTATTGACACGAGTTAACATTTATTGCGATATTGTAAATACATTTCGTTCAACTATCACAATTGGGATACCAAAACCAGTACTTAAACTAGAGTTCAAAGAATTGAATCAATTGATTTAATCGTGATTTAAATCACTTTATTTTTATACTTTTAAACAACCAACAAACAGTGTTTAATTAATGCCTCAATTAACACTTGTTAAAAATTAATGTATTTAGTTTATCATTAAATTGATTAAAAAAACTGTTCAATTCATAAAATACACAAGAAAACTTTATTTTCTTGTTTTATTCAACAACAAAGACTAATATTAATTATTAAACAAATATTCCTTCTTATATTTACCTTAAATAAAAGTAATTTACAAAATTTTCTGGGTTTCAATCATTTAAGTAAGTATATTACCAATTTTTTTTCAAACTGCTTGTTGAGTATTTCGCCTCAAAAATGTTTGTCTTTAATGCCCGGTTTCTGAAACGATCTTTATAGTTGCAATAGCCTAAACGGGCCTATAATTCGGAAAAATGGGTTTCTGAAACGTTACATTGAAGAACCGATAAACGGTCGCTCTCGAACCTTTATCGGTTCTATAAGTTGTAGGAGCAGCGCACGCAAGCGTATTTGCTATTAGCGTCAATAGACATACGAAATCAGCTGCGAGCAGAGAACACGTTTTGGGAAAACAATAATAACATTTTTGGGAGCAAAATTTGCCGGATTTTTCGGACTCATTTAACGAGGAAGTTTTCGATGTTCTTAATAGTGAAATAATTCGAGCACGGAATGATCATTTTAAGAAATACAGCGAAGATGAATTCCGAGATCGTTTCAGTTTAACCAAAAACGTTGTTCACTACCTAGAAAAGCTACTTCAGGAACAAAATAATAGCCAGTGATACAGATAAACCACAGTTTATCTGTTTGCTAATTACTCTAAGGTTTTATGCAACAGGTAGAATGACAAAATATATTTGCATAGTTTGAATTTATTTGTTTTTTTCTTCGTAGCCCAACACTTATAGCTTGTAATATTAAATAGGCACCAGATCTCTGAAGTAAAATAAACCGGACAATTTTTTTTGATAACACAATTCACTCTAACCGGTCTTTATAAATTCTTCTTCGTTATATGGCTTTGCCCACAGAATACCAAGCTTCGCCTACTTTATAGACTCGATAGTTATGGATCACTAGCTTTGACGTTTAGACACGTTGAGAAACCCACCATAAGTTATAGAACCTACAACTTTAGCGGACCGATAGTTATCTAACCAATAAGGGAATCTACCAGAAATCGGGCATAAGTAACATTCAGTCGGCGGTTAACGGATGTATCAGACAATCAGCTAGAATAATAATGCTGAAATTAAAAGGAACGTTATTCAATATACGCATAGTTCAGGAGTACAATCCTACCGCAGCGAAAAGTTAAGAAGAGATTGAAGACTTCTAGAGTTAGATTAGGGTGGTGATGAAGAACGTGGAAAAAGAGATGTTGGGCTCCCCGTCGTAAAACTACCCGTTTTACCACGAGTACACGGTTCGGTGTTAATGGAAGGCCGTTTAAACTAATAAACAACTCGTTTATTTAATCTTAAGCGGGTGTAAAACAATTGCTTGCCCGGTGCGTGGAACTATCGAACAAAAAAACTAAACTGTGCGTACTCTCGACGTCAGTACAACCCCCGGCCAACGCCCTTCGCTACTAGTACCCCGACGCTCCACGAAAGGCAGTCGTGGGTGGCTCACTTAAGCGCCGCCATCTCTATTCGTCCATGGCTAGAGATGACATAGAGACGTATACTTACATAGCTCTGGCATACTCCCACCTGAGCCATGTATATCAGATAAACATGGCTCACATAAAGAACAGAGATATGTTGAATCAGTCAATAGAAACCATGTAGAAACATCCTGCACGTTCAAACTATATCAATTAAAGGAAATACCAACTAAAAAATACTACCTAACAGAATACTTAAATCTAAAAGTCATTCAGCGCATCTAGGCAGGGGATAAATCTTGCGCCCTCTTCTCGTAACACTCGCTTTCGTTTCGGGTGCTCTGCTATTAGACACTACCGGATCCGCACTATCACTGCCGTTTCCTGCAACTTTGTCCGGCTGCTTGACAAATGGTGACCAGACGCCTTCTTCCTTGTGTACACCGTCTCCTTGAGTCCCCGAAGAGTTTGCGGTACACTCTAAAGGGTACAACCGTTGTATGGGTCGCATAAGCTGACCCCGTTCAGTAAGGAGTTTAACCAGACGAACTTGTCCATCCTTTCCTGGGAAAAGTTGAACCACGCGACCAAGAGGCCAATGAATCCTTTTTTCTTGGTCGTTGCCTACGAGCACGATATCTCCCACTTGAACTTGTCTGCTGTTCCTTCCTGTTAACCACTATTTTAGTTGTCCTAGATATTCGCTCCGAAATCTCCTCCGAAGGTCTGCCATCAACCTTTGTTTATGTACCACCCTCCTAGATAACGAGTCAGAATCAACTACATCACAATCGGCTACTTGGCCTACTATCTGGTCTCGGAGGAACATCATTGGCGTTAGAGGAACTAGGTATTTGGTGTCTGAGGAATTGGTAGTGAGAGGCCTTGAATTTATGAATTTGCAGTCACAAAGCACAGTAGCTAGGCTTTCGTAGTCCAGTGAGGCACGTCCTAGCACTTTCCGTAATAATTGTTTTAAGACGCCTACTAGACGCTCCCAGAACCCACCCCACCACGCCTACTAAATCGCCATTGAATGCGTTCGACGCCAAAACTTTCCGCAATTTTTCCAAAGTCCAATCGAGCAAAAGCATTGTCCGTACCCACAGAATTAGTCCCATTGTCACTATATATTGTCTTTGGTCGACCTCGTCTGGCAATGAATCTTCGGAGAGCTTGTATGAAATCAGATGTGGATAATGAACTGCACAGTTCTAGATGTACTGCTCGGAGTTGGTTCGCATACTCCCACCCTCTCAGGCCAAACTTGCCTTGCGCCATTAGGATGCTCGATTCCTCAATAAATGTTTTCAACCCTTTTCCTTTGCCGAAGCGTCAAAAACCGGCCTTATTTTTGTGATCACGCTTTTTGGCTTAATCACTGGCCTGTGTGGTAAATAATGTGCTTTCTACCTTGGGCATGCTTCGGTTATTTCCTCATAGCGCCCATCCGAATACACCTTTATAGTTCCGAGAAAAAGTTCCTTGGCTGCTATCGCTGTTTCCTCCCGTGTCCGTTTTTCAGCAGGATCCTTTATACCTAAAACATCTAACTCCCAAAGATTAGCAATTGAGACATGATTGGTGAAAAGAGAGATAAACGTCATTGACCGTCTTTGAGGGTTTTCTAAAGGGATCTTGCCCATCCAGCCTAACAGGGATTCCACGGCGACCAACCCACATTGTAAAATATGTCTTCTACCCGTATATAGTTTTCCGACAATATCGGAACCTATTAGCACCTATATAGGGCTGGAAGTAACTGAATCGGAGATCTGGATATTCAGTCGACGTAGTTCTTCCGTGCAGGGTCCTCGAAATACAGAAGCAACCGAGCTGCAAATAACAGGTTGATCTAGTGCTTCAAAAGTACAACTATAGTTGCCATAGCTCAGTTTCACGTCATAGCAGTCGTGCTT